TAGTTTCCGTAAAAAAGCGTAATTGGGAATTTCGCTCAATTCAAAAAAACAAAATTAAAAGCGTCAATACGCATCGCAAAAAAATGATAAAAAATAAATCTTAATTTTTCATACCTTCTTTGCTAAACAATTGAAATGTAAATACCCAACAAGAGAGCAAACTCAGCTTTGCTTTGCACTTGGGGGGGTTCCCTTAGCGCCTGCTGCATGCGTATGCAATCACAACCCATGATAAGCGAGTTGCAACAGCAGGCTGTGTGTGCACATAAAAAGCAAACAAACCACACAGTCAGATCATATTTTAAAGAACACTTAAACAGCAAACAAGTGATAGAATATCATTGCCAACGAATTCAAAATGAATTACTTAGCCGCTATTGCACTCACTTTGGCGCTCTTCGGTGCCCTCATCGAAGCATATCCCCAATCGCTAGGCGGCTCGCTAAGCAGCAATCCTCGTGGCGGCGCCGATGCAAGATTAGAATTGGCGAAGGGCATTGGCACACCGGAACACAATGTGATTGGCAAGGTATTTGCTGCGGGCAATACGAATGGTGGACCAGTGGCCACCGGTGGCACTTTGGCATATAATAAGTAAGTTAATACTACAAACATGCCTATTTTTTTATACCAAATTAATATTACAAATATGCTTCTCAACAGTCATGGATTGGGCGCCGCTATTTCGAAAACGCACATACCCGGTGTACGTGATACTTTCACACAGAGCGTCAATGCTAATATTTTTAATAATGGCCGACACAGCGTGGATGCGAATGCTTTCAAATCACAGAATACCCTTGCCAATGGTTTCAAGTTCGATCGCAATGGTGCCGGTTTGGAGTACTCACACAGCAATGGACATGGCGCCAGTCTGACGCATAGCACTATTCCCAACTTTGGTAGACAATTGGAATTGGGTGGCAGAGCGAATTTGTGGTCGTCGCCCGATCGTAATACGCGCTTAGATTTAACTGGCAGCGGCTCGAAGTGGCTGAGTGGACCGTTGAGTGGACAAAAGGATTTTAGTGCTGGCGTTGGACTGACGCATTTGTTCGGTTGAGAAGTATGCTGAGGGATAGATGGTGTGGAGGGAAGCGGTAGAAAAAAATTAAATTTATGAAGTTATTTAAATAGTTAATTTATTGAGAAAAGAATGATGTATTGCTGAAAAATGTGCAAAAAATTATACGAGTATATTTATTAAAAACGTTTTAATAAAATTTTGTAAAAAAGTGAATAGACAAACCTTTTGCTGATTTTTTTTACCATTAAACAACAATTACTTATCGGGTATATACACTTCAGTCCATAATTTCATTTAAAAATGATACCCACACCTTTTTCTAAAAAAACAACTGGCGAATAGAGAAGGCTGACCTCTTAGTTTAATCTGAGGGGTTAAATTTAAAATATTACAAAGATCTCAGGGTTAATTACAAAATCAAGGTTTACGAAATTTTAAGCACGATACTCAAGTATTAATTTGAAGTTTATATATATTTAATTTATATGCCCAGTAAGCTTTTGGCCTGGTGAAGTGTACCACCGCGTGGTGCTGGCTTGTATATACCCCCGATAGCGAAAAACTTTATTTTAAATTTCTTGTGAAAAATAACACTGGATCACAAATTTTAATTTTGTTTTTGTTCCCCAGACGACACTATTCAATTTGTATGTAGAATCTTTCGCTGCGATACGTTTTCGAGATATTTGCAATTTACCGTTATTCAGCTTAAAAAAGAAAGAACGGTTCCACTTGCAAATATCTCGAAAAGTTATCAATAGAAAAAAAAAAATATCTCGATTTTTGGAATCACCGAGCAATTATACATAGGAATTGTATTTTTGCTGTAAACTAGTGTAATTACTCTATTCGAATCATCTCTGGGAAAGATGGCTGGTGGGCCCGATAGCGCCTTGCCTCTACCATAACCATCTCTTGCAAAATTTAGGATGGTGCATCTGTCAGCCTGTTCTATAGTAATCTGCAGCGCCTCAAGCTCAATAGCTCCTCTAATGGTGTCCTAAGGCATGCGCTCATTGCCCCTGTAATACATACACAAGCCAGACGTTACAGTTTAGTGAGAGACTGCTTCACCGTGACCAAGGCAGTTCTCGAAGCCAAATCCATGACCCATAGGTCACTATTGGTTGTACGGTCATGATGTATGTACATCTATCTGCCCCTGAAAGCGGATCCATTGTCCGATTGGATTTGTAGCAGTTCCACAGAAGGGGTGATAGTACCTTATCCCTAATTCGCCGCCTAATGCTAGGAAAATTACATGACTTTCGTTAAATCACGTCCCGTGACGCACCACAGCATATGGTAAAGAAATACGGATTTTTGGAAAGATCTCGTTGCCCAAGTTTTCTGCCGCGGCTTGGCCCCAATCTCTTGTATCCCTTCAAGGGACCAACCACAGGTCGTACAATATATTTCATGGTATATACTGAAACCAAGTTGCCGTGGGTTGTTTTGAACGCTACACAAGGCCGCCAATAAAAAATCCGGGTCCGGTACAAAATATGATTTTGGGCCAACCCCTCCAAAACAATGTTTGTTATCAAGTTTATCAACTCAGCAAAACTTTGTATGTTCCAACTTAATTGTCGGCGAAATCCGGGCCCCGCAAAGTCTGGGTCTGGGGGAGGGGGAACCCCCGACCACCTTCTGTGGTTGTTGTTTTAGCGGTTACAAATACCCCGCCCAGATCGGCTGGTAGCTCAATCGCTGTCGGCAAGCCCAACTAACGGGAGACCCAAGAAGCGTGCAGGTTCTATAGGGATCGTCCATAGGCACAGAGGCGTTAGTTGAGTGGGGTTTAGTGGGCATAAGAAGAGCCACCCTGTGAATGACGTTCAACGCCTGTCGATATGCTGACAGGTCCAGAGGTTGCTTTATGAACCTCTGTCCGGAGTGCCGTGGTTTGGCTTGTCTGTAGCTCTGTCCACTACGTCCCACTAGTCCCCGATGACCACACGGGCGCTGCGTAGTTTAGAACCGGCCAGCCAATTGCCTTGCATTTTGCCAGCAACGTTTCTTTGTCTCTGCCCCAGGTTCTGCAGGCTGGCGACTTGAGGACCTTGTTGCGGCTCTGTACTTTATTGACATTTGCGGTTGTGTGCGCCGAGAAGGTGAGCAGACTATCGAAGGTAACTTCGAGGATTTTCGGGTTATTCACCGTCGGACGGTGACGACGTGAAGACCCAGCTGCCATCTGACCTTCGTCGCCCTGGTGGTAAAAAGGGTTGCCGAGGATTTTGTAGGGGAGAAGGTTAGGCTCCTTGCAGTGAAGAAGCGAGAAAGTTTGGAGAGGTAACAAGGGGTGCTTATACTACCACTCCGTAGGACTTATATTCAGTCCCTGGCATGAGCAAAATCCCAAAAAGTTTTTATCTAAAAACCGAGGACAAAACGTGCCTTGAAATTCAACTGGCTAACAAACAGTAAAGTCCTCTTTCGGGCAACAAAAATAACGGCTTATAATTCTCACATCATATTCCCGTCTAACGCATGTCACAGAAGCGTGAACGATGCTATCATCCGATGAAGAGCTACTTGGAATGTTCGAGAAATATTCTGTGAAATATTTATGTCCTAGTGAATTTTCCCGAGTTCATTGGAAGACTCGTTGTAAGTGGTCACAATTGAGCATAATATTAGCAGAGTTGCACACTGTAATACTGGTAATATTATTGGGCTACTGGGTCGATAACTCCGATAGTCTTTCGAACTTTCAATCTTTCTTCAAGACTGTTATTTGCATTGGTTTCCAGTCTTCTTATTCAACATTCGTGAGTGCTGAACTTATGACTGAAGGGTACACGCTCAGAGGAAACGATAACCGATATTCGCATAAAAACTAAAGGCTGAAAGAATCAAGAATCCTATAGTTTCGATATTTTACTTTCTATTCAATAAATATTTTTTCGTATACAATTTTATACTACAAACTAAAGGTACCCCAAATTAACTTCTCCACACTATCCCATACCAAACATGTGTGTAAGACCCACACCACCAAAGTAGTCACGCTGTCCACTCAGTGGGCCACTGGTCCATTTCGAAGCGCTACCGGTCAAATCGATACGTGTATTACGATCCGGTGATGACCAGAGATTTGCTTTACCACCCAATTCCAATTGGCTGCCGAAGTTGGGAATGTTGCTCTTAGTCAAACTGGCGCCATGTCCATTGATGTGCGAGTACTCCAAACCAGCACCATTGCGATCGAACTTGAAACCATTGGCCAGGGTATTCTGCGATTTGAAAGCATTTGCATCCAAGCTGTGTTGACCGTTATTGAAGAGATTGGCATTGACGCTCTGTGTGAGAGTGTCACGCACGCCAGGAGTGTGAGTCTTCGATATTGCGGCGCCCAAACCGTTGCTGTAATGAGAAAGACAAAATTCCACTTTATTGTGATGAAAATGTTTGTCACTATTTCATACTCACTTATTATAAGCCACTGTACCGCCAGTAGTCACTGGACCACGATCAGTGTTTCCTGCAGCAAAGGCGCTAGCAATTAGGTTATGATTTGGGTTGCCTATAGCATTTGCCACATCTAGGCGGGCATCAGCGCCACCGCGCGGATTGCTGGCCAGCGAGCCGCCAACACCCACTTCACGTGCCACACGCACTAAGATAGGACGTGGTCGGCGTGTGGGTGGTGGATAGTAGACCAAATGTTGAGCACGTGCACGCTGTGGATATGCCTCTACATAGGCGCTGAGTACAGCTACAGCGGCGATTGCGAAAATGAAAATTTTCATGTTTATATTTTTCTTTTTGTTTTTTACCACGAGGAATTTGAAGTAATTTGCAAAGTCCAAGTAAGATCCGATTGTCAAGCTGCTGGCTTAGTGGATGCTGTAAGTTGACTGATACCTTTGCTGAGCGGCGCTGCGAGTTTTTATAAGACGAGTTGAAATCAATTGGCTTATAATCAACTTGGTGGACCTTTGAATATGTTGTTGAGTATATCCCCTAAACGGGGAAGCTACATATAAATACATATGTAAGTATGTATGTATATTCTCGTTCACATCAGTTAGAAAAGCGCATTTTTTCTTAAATTTGCCCAACATTCTTATCAGTTAGAATTTCGTGGGATTTTTTTTTTTAGCACAGCAGGAATACGTTTGTGCAAACGTGTGTATTGATTGTAAATTATGTATAGATACTACGTATGTATGTATGTATGTACTCTATTTTGGGACGTGCCTTTCATTATTGTTAGTAAAAGATCCCCTGAACTTTGTAATACTTACTTACGTTGCAATCATTATGTGCCGGTAAGATTTAAGATTGAAGATGTGTTGCATTTTAAATAACTGAAACATCTTCGTAAATTTTCTTGTATTTTAAGCATAGTATCCCGCTCTCAAGAAAAACCAAGAAAAAAAAACATAAAAATGCCCAAGAAATGCAAAAGGAATTCACTTCCATCTAAATTTCTCGAATGAGTTTACAGCTCAGAAGAAAAAATGCTCCTTCCAAGGGCATATTAAACAGGTATTATTGGCAGAGCATCCCTTTTGATATTTTTTTCAAATTATTTGGTCTCTAAACTCTCAATTAAAAAATGTATTTGCTTGTGAATCTTCAAAAAAGCAATTGAAAAGCCTTTAGAACGTTTGCTCATCTCCGGAGCATCAACGCTAATTATTGGGTACTGCAAAGGATGTATTGATGCTTCTGGAATGAAATACAAAAATTTACAAAGAAAAAAGCGCATAAATTTTGAATTTTTTCTTTACAGTTTTTTCTTTAATTTTCAGTAAAGAAAGCCGACTATTATTTGCTTTTTATTTTTTAAGGCAAAGCTTGCAAGTTTTTTTTCGAGCCAAGACTTTAAAGTTAAAAAAAAAAAAATCATATGGCACTTTTATTTTTTCGATCAGAAATAATCGTTATTTTAGGATTTTTATTTTTCTGATAATTTTTAGCGTTATTTTATGATTTTTATTTTTTCGATCATACATTTTAGGTTTGTTGCACACTACCCCCCCGCGGTATCCCGCTGGTGCCCAAAACAGCCCTGAAAGCGTTCCTCACCCTATAAGAATGGGTAATAGAGACCGAATGCGTTCCACTTTTGGATCGTAAATGTCTTCTTCTTTGTGCCCGAAACAGCCCGGAATTTTTTTCCGGGCACAAATGCGCAAAAAGTCAAATGGCCATAACAGCTG